TGTTTGCTGAAGGTGGGGATGGACTAATTATATTTCATTTTATCACTCTGATCCCAGTTTTGTTTTGTTTTGCAAATAGCACTTTTCATCCCTTTGTCTCCACTCATTCTGTTTCTGTGAGCACCAGAATTCTGTCCCTCTGATGGTGTGGTGAAGTTCCCAGCGTGCTTTGCAGAACGAAGATCTTAGTGATTCTTCTTTTTATTATCACCCCCTTTTACCCAGGTCTGTCCACTAGCTGCTTGCTGTGGAATGCCATGTTATTTGTCTCCCATGTTGTCAGGGATATTGGGTCCCTGATATTGTCCAGTGCTCTGGGTCATGCGGGAATCGTACGGAATAACCGTAGGGAATCTCAGGGTAACGTGCAATGCCTACACCACACAGCGCATTGTGGGAAGGAAAAGCGCTCAGTGCAGGCTGCGGTAAGGGAGGAAGTGGCTGGGTCTTCTCTTTACAGTTTCTGCTCAGGATAGTTCTAGAACCGGAATTCCAAAGTTTCTGCAGGTCAGAGTTGAGGCACATGGGTGGGCTCGCCCTGGATTGGAGTGGCGCGGGGAGACTGTAGATCTGGATCGAGGAGTATCAGCAGAGCTGGGTGGGGGCCAGAACTGGAAGACCATGGGGCCTTGGCGGGGAGTGTGGGGCATTGGCAGAGTTGAGCGGCAGACGGCTTCACAGCATTGGCCTGCACTATTCTAGTCGATTAGATTTAGTTTCTCCAAGTGCAATCCTCCCTGAGCGATCTAATACTATGTGAGTCTGTAGCTGGGGATATTGTGTGCCTCCCGTTACAAGCACTAGACTTACTCACAAACACAGTAGTATATTGTTTTCAAAGTCCCCCTTTGGAATCTAGCCAGGAGCTGAGGAATCGCGTGGCGTATTTTCATAAGGGTTTGTTTACTCAAACTTTAGGTGGGGAGGGACAGCTCAGTGGTTTGAGCATTAGCCTGCTAAACCCAGGGGGTTGTGAGTTCAATCCTTGAGGGGGCCACTTAGGGGATCTGGGGCAAAATCAGTCCTTGGTCCTGCTAGTGAAGGCAGGGGGCTGGACTCGATGACCTTTCAAGGTCCCTTCCAGTTCTAGGAGATCGGATATCTCCATTAATAAAATAAATAAAACTTGGGTTTGCAACATGCACTTTTCAGTGGCACAGCCAGAAGTAAAGGGGCCTTTCCCCTCTGACAGGGCATTTCAGCTCCTCTTCTCCTTCCAACTCTTGAGCTCGCTTTGCCAATGTTCTATGCCTGCTGGAGGCTCCATGTGCTGCCCATGCCGCACTTGCCTGGAAGAAATGTTTCCTGCACTGGGGTTTGTTACAGGGGGTGCCCAGGCGCTGACTAGCTCTCCTGACTCAATAAAGGGAATCTTTCAAAACCTGCAGAGGATGACATGAGTAGAATAGATCTGTGTCTTAATTAACCCATCCAAAGCAAAGCGGTCTCTGCAGCTGTATGGATTCAACCCCAGGACTTCTACAGCTGCCACTGGATAAAGGGCAGAGCTTCAGTGCTCGGATCCAGGTCAAGCCTAGAGCCAGGGGAGAGCAGAGATCTTAGCAGAAGGGGAGGCAGCTTTGTTCCTGTAGGAAAACTGTGTCTCCCTATTACAGACCCTGAGACCCTCAAAAGCCAATGCTGTGCATTGTCTGTGGACGAACCCAGAGAGATTTGGGGAGCAGGGAACAGGCCCAGAGTTGCCCTGTTACAGTGACAGCAGCAGGGTGCAGCACTAGGAGTATGGAAGGCACTTTACGGGTTAACTATCTGATTAGTCCCTTGGCCCTCCCGCCCCACGAGGGAGGTCAGTCCCTGTCCCAGTCCCCGTTCTGGGGATAAGGACGTGGAGGCACAGAGGGGAGGTGATTTGCCCATAGTATCCGTGTAAAAATCGGGACTGATACCTGGGGATCCTAGCGCCCAGGAGGCTAAACCACACCTGTCGTCTGTGGCAGTGCAGTGCCATCTGCAGGAAGCCGTAATTCCTGAGCTCGTGCAATCGTGCAGCTCCAGATTGCTGTGAACTCTGTGCTCCTCCAGGCCTTGGGGATGGAGATAACCCGGAAGATGCCCTTACAGCCGGTGTGCTGAGAGCCTCTAAACTGCAAGAGGTTACCGGGCTTTCCTCCTGAGCGAGCCCACCCGTGAAATTATTGCAGCTGCTCAGGGCTGGAGCACACCAAACCGCCAAGGTGCCAGCAGCATGCCAGGTGCAACCGGACACTGCAGGCACTTCAGCAGCTCGGGCTTGTAGGTCCCAGCCCTGGTGGGTGCCAATAACCACTCAAAGCCACGGCTCAGGGGAAGGTTTGTACTAGGGCTGGCAGGACAGGGGAAAGGCTGCAGAAGCTTAGACAGTTACAGTTCGCGGTCAGCAGCGGTGGGACCTATTTGGGGCTGGTCCCACTGAGAGTCAGGGCTGTGTCTATTCAGGCTAGCAGGAGCTGGCGGTTTCCAGGCCAGGCTCAGTTCGTGTCTCTCATTGGGGCCCTTGGTACTGCTCCCTGCCCAGCCGCCGCTGCTCCCTGGGCTTTCCCGGACCAGCCTCGTGTCTGCGCCTCCACCTCTGTCCGGGCCCTTTTCAAACAACAGGCAGAGCAGACAAGCTGCATCTCAGAAAGCGCCCAATGGGCCCACTTCCCGATTGGTCGCTCCCTGCATCCGCAGCTGATCGGTCCATTCTCCTGCAAGCCCCAGCTCCCAGCCCTGGGGAGGGTCTCCGCCGAAGGGGGTCACTGTCTCTGCATCCTGGGCTTGTGCCAGCCGCCCTGGCACCGTGGGAGAGAGCGACACTGCCCCCACCTCCAGCCAGTACCCCACCAGCTCCCCCAACTGCACCCCCGGCCTGAAATATGGAGCCCTACAGGCAGAGCTGCCCATCCCAGCCATGGCCTTGTGCACTGTCCTAGGAGCCCTCTCTGCAGCTCCTGGCCAGCCAGGGTGTGGCTGCTGCATCCCACAGGCCCAGTCACTTCCGGGCTCGAGGTCCTTCCTCCTGCCTGGCCAGGGCAATGGAAAGAGCCCTGGGGAGGAGGCTGGGCCCAATCCTTTCCCCTGGTGCAGGTCTTGTTAGCTCCAGCTCAGGTGGTAACTAGGGGATTTCTCATGACTGGAACCTCCTCTGTTCTGTTCCACCCTCTTATATGGCTTTGGCATAAGGTGAGAAACCTTTGTCTCTCTGGGTCCCCATCCCTCCTTCTAGCTGGAAAAGCACCAGGTTTAAGATGGATTCCAGTACCAGGTGACATGATCACATGTCATTGTAAGGCCTCATTCTCCCTTCTTTCAGGGTTGGCCTGCACGTACCCAGGAAGGTTTGGGAGCAAACACAGCCATTTACAGCCAATTGTCCTGGTTAATGGGAGCCATCAAGATTCCAAGCCGTTATTAATGGCCTACACTTTGCATAGTTACACTAGGACTTTAGAGTAATACTTCTAGCTTTATACATATTTCTAGCTTTAGATACAAGCATGATACATACATACAAATAGGATGAACACACTCAGTAGATTATAAGCTTTGTAATGATACCTTACAAGAGACCTTTTGCTTGAAGCATATTCCAGTTACATTATATTTACACTCATTAGCATATTTCCATAAAACATATGGAGTGCAACGTCACACCCTCCTCCTGAACTTACTGCCAGAGTCTTGGACACTGTCCATGGCGGAGGCAGTACATGTAAAATGCCTGTTTGTTTCTGGTTAGACACCATCCCAGTACCTCTAAACCCTGTGATGTCATTCAGAGGTGTCCTAGAAAGATGCGGGGTTCCTGGTCCCTGGGTGGCTGAAAACATGTTGGTGTGCAGTATTGCTAACAGAATGCAGATAGCAATATCTGTTAAAGTGGAGGTGTCTTGGCATTTAGCCACCAATGCCATGAAGCGGTGTGCCTCAGTTTCCCCTTCCACACAGCAGTGTAGGCCTGTTACGCTTTTGCTGCTGTGCCAAGCTCTAAGCCTGGTTACAGGTATAAGCTGAAAAGCAACACTCTTGTGAGACTGGCTTGTTACCATCCCTAGCATGTACAAACGTTTTTTTCCACAAATCAGGTACATCACCCATCTTTAAAGGGTTTACCATTAGTATTAACTCCTTTGTCTTGACCCTCAGATGAAGTAGCAAAAGGCACATGATTAACAGGTAACTTATGACGGACAGACTCCGTTCACACAGCCTGGCTTGCTCAGTGTCCACTGCATTTCCCAGACCCT